CAGATATCCACAGTGTTCCATACCACAAAAGCAGAATATACATTCTATTAAGCTGCACATGGGTGATTCTCCAAAATAGACCACATGCTAGCTCACAGAATGTGTGCAGGTAAATGCAAAGGAACTGAAGTTATCCCCTATATATTATCAGACCATAGCACAATTAAATTGGACAAAAATAGCATAAGAAATTACAAGAACACCAGAGACACCTGGAAATAGAATAACACTCTCCTGAAAAAACCAATGGGTCACAGAGAAAATTAAGGAAGAGATTAGACAGTTTCTACAATTAAATGATAATGCCAGCACAACGTACAGGGATCTATGGGACACAATGGAAGCAGTTCTACCAGGGAAATTCATAGAAGTGAATGCCCATGTTAGGAAAACAGAGCAAGCTCAAATAATCTAATGCTGAAACTCAAGCTCCTAGAAAAAGAAGAGCAAGATAATTCCAAAGCTCATAAAAGGAGGAAATTATAACGATTAGAGCAGAACCAATGCAATGGTAACTAAGAGAATGTTCCAAAACACTCAGGTAATCAAATACATGGTTTTTCACAAGAGTAAGAAAACTGATAAACTCTGAGCCAACCCCATAAAAGGGGTGGGGGAGAAATCCATGAAATTAGGAACAAAAAGAGTGAAGTCACAACATAGCCAGCAGAATTCCAGAACATCATCAATACCCACTCTGACAAGCTGTACTATAATAAAATGTAAAACACAGAAGAAATGGACAGATTCCTATATGCATATGAATTCACAAAGTTGAATGAAGATATAAAAGTTCTAAACACCCCATTTTCAATAACTGAAATTGAAAACATAAATAAAAATTTACCAACAAAGAAAACACCAGGTCCTGATGGCTTCATTGTTGAGTTATACAAAATATTTAGAAAAGAACTATTCCAGCTATTCTTTAAACTATTCAATGAAATGGAGAGGGAAATCATAGTTCCCAGTTCATTCCTGGAAGAAAGTGTTGCATAGATTCCAAAAGCAGGCAAGGACCCCCAAAAAACAACAAAAACAACAACAAACAACAACAACAACAACAACAACAACAACAACAAAAGAGAACTACAGGCCAGTCTCCCTAATGAACATAGATGCAAAAATCCTCAAGAAGATACTGGCTAAAAGAATAGAAGGCCGTCAAGATCATGCACGTTGACCATGTCAGATTTATCCCAGGGATACAAGGATCGTTCAACATACATAAATCAATAAATGGAATACATGGTATTAACTGAGGCAAGGACTAAAACCATATGATCATGTTGATAGATGCAGAAAAAATATTCCACAAAATTGAACACACATTCATGGCATAAACCCTACAGAAAATTGGAATAGATGGTCTTTATCTCAACCTAATAAAAGCTATCTATGAAAAGCCAATGGCCAACGTCATACCAAATGGTCAAAACCTGAAAACCTTCCATCTAAAATCAGGAGCAAGACAAGGATGTCCACTATCACCACTCCTGTTCAATATAGTTCTGGAAACATTGGCCAGGGCAATTAGACAAGGGAAATAAATAGAGGGAATAAATATAGGAAAGGAGGAAGTTAAACTGTCATTATTTGCTGAAGATATGGTACTTTTCACAGAAGACCCCAAAAACTGCCCCCAAAGACTTCTAGAATTAATTAACAGATTCAGTAGAGTAGCTGGATACAAGGTCAGCACTCAAAAGTTAATAGCCTCCTTGTACACAAATAACAGATTCACTGACAAGAGAAATCAGTGAAAGAATTCCTTTCACAATGTCATCCATAAAATGAACTATCCAGGAATCAATCTAAGGAAGGAAGCAAAAGAACTATACATTGAGAAATATAGCACTATGAAAAAAGAGATTGAAGAGGATATAAGAAACAACCAACATCCCCTGCTTCTGGGAAGGAAAAACCAATATAGTGAAAACTGCCCTACTTTCATAACCGCTCTAGAGATTCAGTCCAACAGTGTATTTCACAGAACTAGAGAAAAGAATCAAAAAATTAATCTGGGAGCCGGGGATTTAGCTCAGCATTTCCGTGGCCTGCCTTGCAAGCACAAGGATTAATAATAATAATAATAATAATAATAATAATAATAATAATAATAATAATAATAATCTGGAACCAGAAGAGACCTAGAATAGCAAAAGCAATTCTAGGCAACAGGGACAGAACAATGGGTATCACAATCCCTGACTTGAAATTATAGTACAAAGTCCTGTGATAAAAACAGCATGGTAGTGGCAAACAAAGACCCGAGGAAAGGTGGAATGGATTGGAAGATACAGAAACAACTTCAGACATATTTAGCTACCTCATCTTTGACAAAGGAGCTGACCATCCTCACTGGAGGAAAGACAGCCTCTTTAATAAATGGTGTTGGAAAAACTGGATTTCAACCTGCCAAAGATTAAAACTAGACCCCTATCTTTCACCATGCACTAAACTAAAATAGAAGTGGATTAACAATCTAAATATTAAAACAGAAACACTAAACTTGCTGGAAGATGAGTTAGGTACAAGTCTAGAAGACATTGACGTAGAAGACTTTATGAACAAAACCTCAGTAGCATGGTAACTAGTACAAAGAATCAACAACTGGGATCTCATCTTATTAAAAAGCTTCTGCTCTGCAAAAGAAACCCCCAACAGAGATAAGAGACAACCTACAATGTGAGAAAAAAATGTATCACCTGTTCCTCAGACAAAGGACTTTACCTAGAATATGTAAAGAACTTTTAAAAATCCACCCCCCAAATATAAAGACCCAATCAAAAAACTGACATGTGAATGAAGAGACATTTCTCAGACAGAAAAGTAAAAGCAGCAAATAAACATATGAAAAGATGTTCAACATCACTCTTCATTTGAGAGATGTAGCTGAAAACAATACTGAGATTCCACCTCACCCCAGAAAGACTGGCTGCTATCAAGAGATCAACCAATAACAAATGATGGTGGGCTTGTGGTAATAAAGGAACCCTACTCTGTTGTTGGTGGGAGTACAGACTGGTGCAACCACTATGGAAATGGGTATGAAGATGCCTAAAAGAAGTAGGATTAGAGGTCCTATTTGACCTAGCTATTCCTTCGATGGACCACCTCTCCAAATATTTAAAAATCATACCACAGTGTTATATGGGCATCCATATTCATAGTGGTGCACTTTGCTATAGGTAAAACTTGGAAACAGCCCAACTGCCCATAAATTGGAGACTGGAAAAAGATGTGTGTTTTTTTTAATAAAATGAAATACTACTCAGCCCTAAAGGAGAAATTAAAGACATTTATAGCTAAATGGATGTACACTGAGGTCATACTCCTAAGTGAAATAAATAGCAGCATACACATGTGTAAATACCAGTTTCTCTGGTGTGAGAAACTAAGTGTAAATAATAATTAAAATGTATAATTGGCGGTGTGAAATAGGAAGAAAATTTCTATAGGTGTAGCTGAAGTGGGAAGGATAGGGGAAATCCGGAGAGAAGGGAAAGTAAAAAATATTAGAAAAAGAAAAATTGAAACAAAGTCTTTGTAAATAGGGAGGGGTGCAGAGGGTGGAAGGCAGGGGTATGGGGAAAAATATGAACCAAGATACATCATTAAAGTTACAAGTTCCAAATGATGAATGTAACTGTATTGTCTACCTAAAATGTAGCAATAAACTTAACAGGAAAAAACCCTAAGGGCTTAAAGATAATTGATTGGGCAAATCACCAATGACTGATGATGCAGGGAGGCTTTCAAAGTAAGTACGCCTTCAGAAAGTGTGTGAAAGCATTCCTCACAAAAGAAGGCAATTGCACTAGGCTGGCTTGCCTTTGATATTTCTGAATATGTTAAGGTTCTCACAGAGAAACTCAGCTGTGCCTTAGAAATATTTTTTCTACCTACGGGATGAGACTGAACGATCCAGCAAAAAGTTGGACAAACCACTTTACCATTCTCTTCACCAATACATGAGTTATAAACTGAGCTGAAACACATGTGTCTAAGAAGCAGTGAACATAGGATGTGGCATGAACACGAGCCTTGTAGCCAGGATCCTTTTATTCTTCAGAAAGTGGAGGCAGCAGAGAAGACAAGGGCAGGCATGCAGGAAAGGCAGAATTTCAAATAAGATGACTGTGTTAAGGGTTATAGAGAAAATGTGAGTCAGATGAGGAGCCTTTTTCCTGTGAGACCTCCTCTCAGATCTGGGACATGAAAACATGCTTGCCAGATTGGTAGACCTAGAAACAATCTACAATCTGTGCTTCAAATTCCAAATTCTAGATCACTGTTTGGTTATTCACAGAACTCTGCAGGAAAGAGCAGTCTAAACATTGTTCATGATTTAATAGCTATTTCATTTAGAGAAAGATGTTAAGAAGACTCATCAGTGTCCTTAACAGAATAAATGAGTCAATCCAACTATAAGACTCTCACACAGCACAGGGCTGCAGTGAAATCATGCTTTCCTGACTATTAGTGTCAACTTCTTAATTTTCTATCTGCAAACCTTAAAGTTACACCCAAGCTTTATATCCTCATTATGAAATTAGGTGTATCTGCTCAAGTGAGGAACAGAGGGCTCTTCCCACGGAGGTAGACAGATCATTCTGGCTCACGAAGAGAGTGGGTCCGGTGGGAAAAATGAATAAGAGAGAGGAAGCAGACAAAAACAGTTGCAATCACCCACTGAAGAGCAAAAGGCTTGCCTGAGGTGGTGGCAGAGACCTTGGTAGAGACAGGTTAGGAGATTTAGAATAATTAGAATGTGCTCATCCCCTTGTACTGCAGCACAAGGAAGTTAAAGGAAGCTAAAGAGGAGACCATGGTTTTTGACTTGAGTGGTTGGATGGGTTCTGGGTCTTCAATTGGTCGAGAGAACACAAAAAGTTGTATGTTCGGTTTGTGGCATTTGCATACCCAGGAAGAAAAGTTGTATAGCTGATGCATTTGTTTGTTTTTTACTCATTGCTTTATTCTGGAAAAATTGTGGGTGACCCAGAATACATTTCTATATGTGATTGTAAGTTTTATTCCAGGAATGATTGAAGACAAAAAACACAGGAGCCAGCACTTGGACGGTTGTTGAATCCTGGATGCAACCGAGATAATGAAGACTGAGTGTACAACACGAGAACACAGCCAGGCCAGACGATGCTGGAAACTCACCCTGGAATGTGCGGCACAGGGAGAAGGATCTGTAACAAAAAGACAAAGGAGAACATCACCCAAAGCAGAGGTACTAAGAAAAAGTGATGGCAAATATCCAAGAAATGACAGAGTGCATTACTGCATATAGATTTAGACGGTGTTATGAAATAATGAATTTAGCTCAGCCAAAATAAAGCGAGAGAAGGGAATTCTGACAAAAATGATTAGAGAATAAGAAACATGAGGTAGAACTGATGTCTCAAACAAGAATTTCTAATGAAGGAAAGGAACCGGGAATCAGCTAGAAACAGACGGTGTGAAGGGGGAGTGTTGCGGGGGTGTGAGTGTGTGTGAGATCATGCGTTGTGTGACTATCTGTGAGCCCGTGTATGAGCACGGTAGTGTGGTCTGTGTATGCGGAAGTGTTCTTGTGTGTGTGTAGTTTGTGTGCCAGTATGCATGTCTGCATGTTTATGTATTTCTGTGTGCATCTATGTTTGTGTGTCTCTGCTTGTTATACATGCATTTGAGAATTTCTGTTAGCATGAATTTGTGCTTGTGTGTTTATGTACCATTTGTGTGGGTTCTTGTGTGCATGTTTCTATGTAAGCACGTTTATGTGTTTGCCTGTCAATGTATGTATTTGTATGTCTGTGATAGCCTGAATGTGTGAATTTAACATGTATGAGGATTGTGACTTTGTATTTCTGTGTAGGGTACTGTGTAATTTTGTGACAATGTGTGTACACAAGTGCGAACTGTGGCTTTGTGTCTGTGTGTGTGTGTGTATATATATATATATGAATGAGAATGTGCATGACCCTTTATTTGTGTATACGTGTCCCTGAATACACATATTTCTGTTCATGCACGCAGATGTATGAATGTGAATACTGGAGAAGGCATATCTGTAATTATCAGTGTTATGAAAGTGTGCATTGGTGTGTTCACGTACAAATGTGTGCATCAATGTCTTTGAATATGTGCTTGTGTTCTGTATGTGGGCAAAAGTGAGTGTGTAAATGTGTTCTTGACATAAGCTAAGTGTGTGACATCTCTGTGTAAGGGTGCACTTGTGTGTGTGCACATGTGCAAATCATGTGTGTCAGCATAGAAATGTGTCAGCACATGATTGTGTGAATGTGTGGCTGCGTATGTATGTTTGTAAAAGTGTGTATGTGAATGCAGGTGTTTGTATAAGTATGGTGGGTACCGATGTGGAAGCACTTGTGTTCTTACATGCAAATGTGTTTGTGTACTCATGAGTGTATTTGTGCATCTGTATGTGTGTCAGTGCACATGACTGTATGTGAAGGTATGGCTATTTGTGTTTTTGTGAACATGTGTGTCACTGTGACTGTGTCTATGTGTCTGGGGTAACTACAGAGTCTTTATGTCTGACTGGCTTGCTCTACCACTCTTCAGTGACACTGTAACACTGGGGCCTTCACTTAAACTCTCATTAACAGTATGTCATAGCTAAAATTAAGAACACAGTAGCTGCTTACTGTGATGCTGTAAATAGTTATAAGTTTCTCAAATTCTGGATTCCTTCAGATCTGCTAAAATTAAGATTCCCTACAAATCTCAGCAGTTTGTTAAGAAACATATGAACTGCTGAGACAAAAGATATCAGGACAGCAAGGTGCTTAGAAACAATACCAAGGTGCTTTATTCTTGATTTTCTTGAAAATGTGGGGCCACACCACACACTCAATTACTCCGTTCCATAAATATCTACTGATTTTATACTTGTCTTGTTCTGGCTACCACATATCTTCATGTTCTCTATATCTAAATTGAGACTTCTCAGGAAAGATTTCTTGGCCTCTCTGATGAGAATGAGCTACCTTGTATACACATTTTGCAGTTGCTGTATTAATTTTTGCTTTAATATTATAAATTGACAAATTATATCTACATATGTTTTATATGGAGAAAAACCTATGTGATGATTGAAGAATACACTATGCAATAATTAAGCTTGTTTATTATACAATGTGGGCTAATAAAGCTAACACAGCCATCATTTCATACGCTCATTATGTTTTATGAGGATAACAGGTGCAGAAAGAAACCCTTTGTTGTCACAGGTCAGATGAGCCTGCATCTCCGTCCACAAGGGATACATCTGCCAACTGAACGGTTATCTCACGGGGCCCCTCTTGGCAATTACGGATTGTGTACTGTAATAAGACTTTTTGGATATTTGAACAAAGAATGGTCAGCCAAGGGGGTTTAGTTCAGTTATATTCAAAATAGAATTCACATTGTAGAAAAATGCAAAGAAAATTATGTGTTGGGACAGAGTCATGAATTGTTGCCCCTGCACTATGTTTTATGGAGGGCAGATTCCCCTAGGCTGTCATCCAGGGCTGGGGGTAAGCTGGCCAGAAAACACTGAAGAATGCCTCAGACACACTCCATATTGTGACCTCGTGGTACAGCTGCATGTACAAAGTGTGTTGTTGGCACACTTTGCTGTCCTTAGGGACAAACCCTGGGACCCAGTGAATAACTGAGTCCCACACAGCCAAACAAAAAACCTAATCCAAGATGAACACACTATGGAAGGAATCTGCCAAGCTTCCTTCGGGAGGGAAAATAGAGCCCCAAGTGCAGGAATCTGTTCATCTTGGCTGGAGGATGACCAGGTGGAAAGCTGGGGCCTATTTGACAGTGGGTGCTTCTAATGAGGAGTGTGAGCCTTGTGCTGATAATATGCAAACAGCAGGGGACAAAGAGAGTCGATTTATAACATGACTGGTAATCGCTGGATGTGATTTCTCTCCACGTCTAGCTGTGGTTAAGACCATGCCTCAGCAATGACCCCAGCCCATCTCTAAGAAGCTTACTGTTCTCACTTAGCAGTGCCCGTTTTGTTAAAGGACAAGACATGTCAAGGCATATGAGACCGATGGCATTCTTGTCTTTTTTCTCCTTTCTTTTCTTTCAGTACTGAGATTAAACCCATGGCCTTCACAAAGAGCTAACTATCTGGCTGTACTTATTTTGTATATTGAAACAAGGTCTTACTAAATTGCTAAGTGGCCCAGGTGATCCTCCTGCCTCAGACTCTCATAGTGCTAAGTACCACATACAGGGTACAGACCTGTTGTTTTTTACTTGAATTTGCAATAATGAAATGAGCTCCAGGAATCGTGGTATTTGTATAAATCAAGTTATGCAGGATTGAAAAGAGAAGTGTGGTAATGGCTATTTTCTTCCACATGAGGGAGCCTTTGCCATGTTTATGGTGTACTATAATCATTTCAAGTCCACTGTCTTGAACAAAAACAAAATTCTTCAGTCACTGCCTGGGAGTCGGTAGAAATTCTCATTTTATGCTGTTACCCAGCCCTTTAGCACATGTCTTAGATCCAAGTGATCTGTGACAGCTGTGCTCACTGGATGGCCCTGGATACAATCCCACTTGGCCTTTCCCACCAGCAGTGCCAGGGATCTGACTTCTTTCCAACATGTGTGTCTACACACCAGAGCATCAGACCTACCATCAGAAAGGAAGCCAGCAGGGCCACTACCACTGGCACCATTTAACAAACAAGAAGAGGCAATGGTTACACGCATGATCATATGAGTCATTTTGCTGTCAATCCCCTGTAAGTCACAGGTGTCTCTTTAGTATATTCATTATGATTTTTCAGGAGAGTGATTTGGGAATTTATGTCTGAAAATACCAGAAAAGACTGAGTTTTTTCATATCCCAATGATCCACCTGAATAGAAGGGATGATTATCCCCAGGAGGGAGGATAGCCCCAATACGTGATCTTATATGTAATCGAAGCTGCAGCTTTTATTAAGTCACTTCCTGTGGTGGTGGTCCTACTGACTCTATCGCAGGAGTGATGCCGACTGGAGAACTGCTGGCTTTATTCCACTACCCTGTGCTTCCTTGATGATTGTTGTCAAACACAATGAGCCTTCTAGGCCATAAAAATACAAGTGAGTGAGTGTAATGTTTGCTCTTGCCCTTCTTCCCTGACCTGAAGGTCTATCGTCTTAACTGTAGCATCCTATAACCTTCTCTTTTACTTTGGAGGTTTCAACTTCTCTAGACTTAATCTGACACCTCAGAGGGAGTGGTTCTGATAAATACACAAGAAATTAGGCTATGAATACGGGAGGCCCTTTAATAAAATGCAGATTTTTGAGCCTTTGGTTTTACCCTACAGTTGTCTTATTTCAGTAGTGGTTAAGCAGTAACTTGGACCTTGCAGTGAACACATGTAACAACCAATTGCTCCCTTCTTCTGTTGTGATTTTCCTTTAACTTAGCCTTAGTTTTCTTTCTGACAGTGGCTAGAAATTCTAGTTCTATCCTGACAGGCACTAGGGAATCTGGGTGTGCCTTTTATGAGATACTTCTTTATCCTGGTAGACAACCAAATGCCTAGCTGTCTAACCAGTGACTAGGTAGCTTTCCCATAGGAAACTCATTTTATGGACAGACTTGCCTGACCTGAGCTCATCTTATTTCTACAAGGAAAGGCATGCTCTAGAAGAGCCCTGAGCAGAGAGTTAGGTTTGAGAGTGTTGGTCAAATAAGACAGAAGAGGCAGCGCAACAAAACATGAAGTGACACAGCGTTCGTTACTTACAGATCCCAGAGAGAAGTGGGCAGCATACCCAGCAGCAGGGTCAACAGGAAGGAGGAGCTGTCCAGGACATACTCACTCAACCAGGAGAGAGGAGAGAAAGGGAGGAAGGAGGGGTGGGGACGGGAGGAGAAGGAGAGGAAGCGGAGGAGGGGGAGAGACAGGAGGAAGGGAGAAGACAGGAGAGGAGAGACTGCTTGAGCATCAAAACCTTCATTAAGTTCCAGGATGTTACCCAAGTGGGAGTATTGAGTGGTGGGTTTAGAGCAAGCAAGCATTCTACAAGGTCGTGCTAAAAGGCGGCCAGTGCATCAGACCTGTGCAGGGTGCACGGGAGGACGGTGGTGTGAGTCAAGGAGGTCGTACCTAGCTGTCCATGGGAAGGCTTGTGAAGTAGACATATGCACTGAACACACGAGGAAGTGGGAGG